TCCTGCTGGTTTTCAGGGGCATGTGAAATGATGGGACAAGTGCCTCAATGTACAGGGAGATCATGTTGAGAAATAAAAGCATTTTTCAAATCAGTACTCTTATTTGAAGAAAGCAGTCTTCTGGGATTTTGCACCGTGTATATGTGGTGTTAACCGACGTTTCGGAGGAACGTATCGCAGTATCGTAAAAGCAGTCTGCTTTTACCGGTTCTCACGGTCTCTTTGCTTGCAGATTTCTTATATATTTTTTCTTCTACCCTGAAGATGGAGGTGATACGTTCATCCGAAACGTCGGTTAACACCACATATACACGGTGCAAAATCCCAGAAGACTGCTTTCTTCATAGTCACTGCCGTGAAAGCCTCAAATCTTACACAGTACTCTTATTTGTTTAAGTTCTATATCCATTTGTAACTTACTTATTGACTTACCTACGTACACCCACTCCATTGGGTGCACGCAGAATATGTTGTTCAGTTAGTGTGGATACTTGCAAGGTTGGAATTGTGTGTGGAGTTGATTTTAGTTTGTAACATTCTCACTCAGAGCAGTCTGCTTATGGTTACTGATGGTCATTACTATCCATCCTTATCATAAGTGATTAATTTTTCAGTAAATGGTTTTCAAACAAAAGGTATGCCACACCTATCAAAAGAAACTGAAGATTTTGTTTCCTTATTAGTCAGTGTCCTGTTGAGAAAGGTACAATAAAATAGTTTCACTTGGTGTAGTATTTAAATGTATATCAGCTTTAGGAAAAATGACATAGAAATGTTTTAATTTCATAATATATTTGAATGCACTAAAAGTGTCACTGTAAAGTTCAGGTGGCCACGTGCAGTTGGAGCCCAGGCAGGGGCACTGAAGTGTCAGGCCGATAGCTTTAACTGGTTGCAGTGGTAGACTTGCCATTTCTTATTAATTTGTACAGATTTCCTAACAGACTCACTACTGTGATGAAGACTTGTTCAAACAACGCTCTGAGAAATAATTTCATTATGTACCATAATTCATCTGAACTGATCACAGTTCAGTTTATTCAGTACAGCACAATTACTGTAGTGTTCCAATATTTCTAGTTCATAAGCAGAAGTACAGTCATCTACAAACACCAGTGTTACATGTGAGATATGAGATATTCATGGCAGTGATCATGACGAAGTTGGAAGTGAAGGTGTGTAGGAGTCTGCCAACATTTTGGAGGAACGTAACACCACCTTCATAAGGGTAGACTTCTGCTACTGACTTTTCAGCAGTAATGTTGAGGCCAAGTCTCTTGAAATGTTTTGCTCTGTAATTTGTCTGAACTGATCTCAGTTTGGGGGCACGCGGTAGCGTAGTTGGTTGAGGGGCTATGCTACAAGCCGGAAGGTCGTGGGTTTAAGTCCCAACGAGGTCATTGGATTTTTTTTAATTGACCTAATCCTTCCAGCCGCACTATGGCCCTCGGGTTCACTCAGCCTCTTAACAGAAATGAGTACCAGGAATTAATTAAATAGTTTTCCTGGGGAGTAGAGCATGGCCAGCGCGTAAGGCTGACTGCCTTACCACCATCTTTGAGTTGATTGTCTAGATAATGTGGGACCCTCAACATCTCAAAACCCTATGGGCTTTCATGGCCTGGTACAGGGATAACTTTACTTACTTTTTACTTTTACTGATCACAGCACAATTACTGTATTGTTGTAGTGTGCCAATATTTCTTGTTCATAAATGGAAGTACAGTCATCTACAAACACCAGTGTTACATGTGAGATTTGAGATATTCATGGCAGTGATCATGAGGAAGTTGGAAGTGACACTGTGTAGGCAGGTAGGAGTCCGCCAACATTTTGGAGGAATGTACTGCCTCCATCATAAGGGTAGACTTCTGCTACATACATTCTATTACATCCTGACTTTTCCACAGTATTATTGAGGAGAAGTGTTATGAAATGTAATTTGTTTTTACCAGCATTGCAGACAAATATACTTCATCTTCAGGATGGAAATTTGAAGCAGAAGGCAATGTGTTCCTCTGAAATGTCATTAAACTTCTACCAACCTACACAGTGTCATATCCCGTATCATCAGCCAAATGAAACTGCTGTTTGTGGATGACCTGATTTAATATTGTGACTGCAAACACAACATGATGCTTCAATGCGTATTATTCATGAATGGGAACAGGCCAAACATCTGTGCTTATGTAATCTAAATGTCTGATATCTGGAGTCATCCTAAAGATGGAGGCACACATTCCACCAAAACGTTAGTATCCACCTATCTGGCTGCACCTTGGTGTGTTTCGCCAGAACCCTGGTATCCGCCTACCAGACTACAATACAGTGTTATAGCACACAACGTCCCCACCAAGGAACTTGATGATTATACAGCTTTCCAGTTTTGTCAGGAAAGTTACATCAAGGACTTGTAGCTGAGATAGGGGAACACGAATACATACAATGTTTTTGTTGGAACATGCTGGAAAGCATCCACTTGGCAAAGCAAAAGTGGTGGAAGAAAGAAAACAAACCAGATCTTGACAAAACTGGGTATAAGACTGTGGATAATGATGTGTCCACTGGTGGGCTTTGGTATTAGCAACATTCATCCTGGAAGGGTATGCTGAAAACTAATCTCCATAAGACAGTAGAGAAAATATAGTTCTGTCAACAAGACACAGAGTTCTTCCATGCCACACTTACAGAAGTACAGGTACTCCTTGGTATATGCAAGTTCGAAACATGTTTCAATTTAATGCAGTCAATTAATTCAGACCTGTAACACTTGCCTTAGTATGAACTGCTTGGTCGCCCCTCAAGAGAGGTCAGATTAGGATGTTGTGCAGGAGTGGAGGAGGAATGCAAAGGGAGAAGAGAAAATTCGGCCTGCCTGATGTCATTTATGTCATTGCACCCCCTGTGACCCGTTTTGGGAACACAACTAGTGCATTAGTTGACGAATACCTGTACATGAAATATGTCAGGTGTGTCTGGACTGCAGACGTGGTTGTTTGAGAAGTAATTGTATAAAATAGGGAACAGAGTTCAAGGAAGGTAGCCATTTCTGTTTCAGTGAAATTGCTCTTATGGAAAAGAAATCGGGAGTCGTTACTTTCAGCATGCCCTTGTACAAGCTCTGTCACCAGAAGAAGACAGATACACTTCCCAGTGAAATATCCCACATTGTGAAATTGGAAATTTCATAATCTTAATTGGAATCCATATTTAAATATTTGTTGCTTAACCTCCAGTGATGTCCTGCGTTCAGAGCACACTTGCCATTGTATCACATCACTACCTGGAACACAGAATTTGTATGGCAGCCATAACTTCTGTCTCTAACAGTGATATTATATCAAAAGTGCCAGTTTTTTATAGCATTAAAAAAAATGCTATAAGCTATCCATGTATGGCTAGTCACATTCTCAATTTCCTGTGGCATGTAACAAATACTCTGTACATCTGAAATAAAATTACCCTGCTTTACCTTTTAACTACAGTGTAAACCACGCGTTAAAGATAAGATCTGAAGCTTTCATGGCAGCTACAGTGGATGAAATCTGCTTTGCCTTTCAGCTCTGTCCGTTGGTTAAGTATCACTGATGTCTCAGGGAACATCTCTCCCTATCATCAAACATGGCTTATAGTCCAAGAATATTTTATCAGCTTGTGTCACAACTTTTTTCCTTTAAAACAGGATTATGAGATCACATTGCTGTCTGTGTATGCTCTCCTCCCTGAACCTATTGATCCATGACTGATGTATAATTAAAATATTCCTGCAGGTAAGTCAGTTACAAATATGAATAGAAAGGAAACATGACATAGGAATGAGTATTTTGCAATAATGCGGCTGCTGCTGCTGCTACTGCTACTACTACTGCTGGTGTTGCTACTAATAAGGATGATGGCAGTTTTCTATGGGTAATGAGTAAAGTCTTCAAGATCCACCACTTTACCACCCACAATATCCCACCCCCATCAATAGATGTTTTTCTTTCATATTTCACCACACTACAGAAGCTATGGGTGAAGCCGAGCAAAATTTCTGCAATCAGGAATTAAATTTAAAAAAACCAGGTAGTTTACATTTTAATGCTCTTCGGTTAGCAGGAAAACCCGATACTTTGGTTTGATGGCCTTCGGTTATCAGGAAAACCTGGTACCT